ATGAACTGAAAACTTGTAAGGGGAAGAGAGGTCAGAATTGTCATTCCAACTGAACTCAGCCACTAGTTCAACTTAATTAAACCTAAAAATGTATTTTGCTTCCAATAGACACTTTAAAAGCTTGATTGTATGATCAGCAAAGTACCTCCAAGTGCTCTCCCCACTAACTTCCTAAATTCTGCCATAAACTCAAAGCCTACAAGGCATTGTTTAAAGTGCAAACAACCCAAACTGTCCACTAACTGAGGAATGGATAAACAGGATGTTGTATATTCGTCCAATGACGTATTATTCAGCCAAAAGAAGGAATGGGGTAACTGATATATGCTACAACATAGATGACCCTTGAAAATAAACAGGATGTTGTATATTCGTCCAATGACGTATTATTCAGCCAAAAGAAGGAATGGGGTAACTGATATATGCTACAACATAGATGACCCTTGAAAACATCACACTGAGTAAAAACACTACATTGAGTGAAAAAAGCCAGACTCACAGGCCACATATTACATGATTCCATTTATATGAAATATCCACAACAGGCAAATTCATAGACAGAAAATAGATTATACTTCCCAAGGATTGCGGGAGGGAAGGAGTAGAAAGTAACTGCTAATGGGTACAGTGTTTTTTTTTGAGGGTAATGAAATATTCTGAAGTTAGAGGTACTGTACAGTCGTTGAGTACACTAAAAACCATTGTACACTTTTAAATGGTGAATCATATCTCCATTTTTCAAAAAGGCATCTTTAGTTCAGCATTTCTACTGTCTCTTAAGTCTCTGAGTGCTCAACAGAGAGCCTTGCTTCCTAGCTAGGACTCCCAGTGTGCTATCCTTTCAGTGTGGCCCCATTTATGAAATCAGGAGGAAGTGATCTTTGAGACAAGCTTAAATGCTCACACTGTTGTTCGTTGTTTGGTTCATCACATATTAGAGGGAGAAGGGAATAAGTAAACTCTGAATTTCTAGTGCAATCTCTGGTCACTCAAGGGATTGACAATGTCCCTACTGTGAATCAAGCCAGTTATTCAGTCATTCTGGGGCAGAAGATACCATGGCTTTATTGTTTAAAAGGCAGCTCTTGCTGAGTTACTTCTTTATCTACTAGATAATGAACTGCAGCATTCAAATAGTTCTGAGTATTTGGCTAATACATTTTGAAGAAGAAGAACTATTCTTATCAAGACTTATTCATTTTATAATACAGGAATTATGCTCAAATACAAAGTGACAGGTGGTGCTAGAGAACCAATAGTTGGCCATTCAAAATAATTCATTCTGATTAAAAAACTATCTTTTTGTTAACATTATTTAAACTATGTCACCAATATGCAGTCCTGGAATCCTCTGGCACACAAAATACTCATATATCAATCTAGAAGAACAATGAATATTGATTCATTTAATTTGCTACTAATGACTCTAGAGTGTTAGTTAGCTTAAACTTGCTTGGAGTAACCAAATGGTCCATGTCTGACTTTATTGTGGAAAGACTGTTTATCAAAGGAAAAATGCTTAGGAATTGAATGCACTCACAGTTTTCTTAGGAAGAAATTATAATTCTTCAGAGTAATCAGCATATGTTATTTTAGTCATACCATACACAGCACATATAGGAAGTAGGCATAGAAGTACCAGATAGCATACAGGAGTACATGTTTGAAATAATATCACTAGAATCAGAGTTTAGTGTGTGTGTGTGTGTAAATGTAGTGTTTTAGAGAGAAGAGGCAAAAGAAATGTCACTATAAGCTCCATTTCTGTTTTTCAATTGTTTTCTAGAGTTAGGGTGTCACTACATATCACAGGCTGGCCTAGAACTTGCTATGTAGCCCAAGCTGGACTCAAACTTGTAATTCTCCTGCCTTAGCACTGGAATACAGATGTGTACCACCACGCTGTCATGGTGGGTAGGAATGCTCTTTGAGCGTGTATAACCTACAAGCCTTAGATGACAAGCACAGACTACTGGCTCTTGAGTTCTCTCTATTGGCTCCAGTGTCATACTTCTTAAAATGGAATTTCTAGATTCAGACATAAACAATCACAAATCTATAATACATAACTACCATTTAGTTCATTTAAGATTATGCATGAAAGGAGAAGTGTTAAGTAAAATATCCAGGTATTGTAACCCATAAAAATCAAACTACTTGGAGTGGGGTGTGTGACTCAAGTCGTAGAGCACCTTCGTAGGAAGCACAAGGCCCTGAGTTCAAACCCCCACTGCCACAAAAAATAATCAAACTGCTTGTTAAAGCCATACAAATGAACTCATTATTATCATTTGTGGGACCCAGATTACTATACGATTAACACTGTCCATATAGACAAAGTACCAATAACAATGCATGCCACTTAGATGGTGTATTTATTATTCAGATCAGAAAATTAAGCAGCATAAACCACTTAAATGTTAACACTACTTCAAAGGCAAATATGGTAGGTCTAACATTCTTAAATAGTAGCTATTTTACTTTTCCATCAGTGATTCACCAAAATTACTAATGAAAATCAAAACTGACATGCCAGACTTTCCTATTACCCCCATGCGTTATCACTTGAGAACATTAAAATGTAAAGGAAAGCAGAGAAACTGCCCAGAAAATGCACAAACGAGGCAATACTATATAACCGTACTGTATATGCACATATTACAAAAACCACACACTCACCCCTACAATATCTCAGAGAGATACAGTCCCTTACAAGAGTCTCATGAAATTTTCAAGTGTGATTTCTAAAAATAATTAGACCTATTCTCAGACCCAACCTCTGCATTTTCTAAGAAAATTAAAAAACACATCATCTCCTTCAAATACTTTTCTAAGGCAGGCATCTGAGCAGTTAAGGAAGTACTCCTATTGACCAAAGAACTTTCAATCTAACATGATGTAATTATTTGGAAAACCTAATACTTTGTGGGGAGGGATCATTCTTATTACACAGTTAAGGAGAAGCTGGATAAGTTTTGTTGTCACTAAATCATAAAATTGATAGACTGCTTTTATTTCTGCTTCTCTGAAAACCACACATACATATATATATTTTTTGGCCTACCTTGGAATGGTATAATAATTAACAGCTATTGTTGTGCTATATTTAAGAACTAAATACCTTAGTTGCTTCAAGAAGTCCACATCAGAGTTGCTGTTGATAAGTTTGATGAACTCTTCATAAGAAGGGGCATATGTGTAGGCTCTCTTGTGATGTTCATTCATCTGTTCTCTGTACTCCAACTGGGCAAGCAGCATTTGGTTAATGTAATCTGGATTACTCAGTAACTCCACAACTGGCTTCAAGACTGAGGAAGGAGAAAAAAGCTCCACTGAAAAAGATACTCTTCTTCAACGGAACTGATTTAATATCACATAACTGAAACTACATTTGGGGAACATTTTTCAATCAGCCAAATGGGAAAAATTATTATAAGCAATTTAAATATTTAAAAATATGTATGCATGTACACACATGCACACATATAAAAGGTTGGCTATCCCTCTGGATGTACATATACAGCAACAATCAAGAAATCACTTTTAATAAGCAAGTGAAATATAAAGAAATAACAAAAAATCATTTGGAACCCAAGTTGCTAATGAAGCTATCTATCAAAATTAACTGCACTAATTTTTCTCCTTTTATTTCTTGTATAAGGCTCATTATTTTTTGACCTGTTAGTCTGCTAAAAGATCAAAGTCAACATTCTCCCAACTGGTCAAAGCAGACCTCAGGGAAGACATTATTAAAAAGTCAGTAACATTATTACAAATCCATCCTACTAACTTTAGATTAAAAAGTTCCCCTTTTCTCTCTGGTTAGTTATATCAGCAGATAGGCACAGCTGGCTACTCCAGAGATAAATGATATTCAATCATCTTTCTTATGTGTTTGAGATTCTGAGATAGGGAAAAACTCCTTTAGGTTATATTTTTTTTCTATTTTCTTACCCTGACTGAACATTTTCCTAGATATAGATAACTTTTTTTCTAGGTTTCACATTCTGTTGTGGTATAGTACCTTTTTTATTTATTCCCAGTTTACAAAATTATATATAGGCACTACCAATGAATCTTACAGCAAAATAATTTAAGCAAATGCTAATCAGAGTTGTGTGTGAAATATGTTCATATATATGAATACTTTCATTAATGCATATATTATTGGCCTGGATAAATTAAAAGCTATCCCAAGTGAATGATTCCCTGTAGAAAGTATACAACACAATGGATTGTACATTTGGCAATATGTCATATAAAAAACTATCATGTCTAGCCAAATGCTTGAACAACAATTAAACTTGGGATTTCTAGAATACTTTAATTCCCATGTATCTCAGAGTATACAAGGTCTGCACAGGTTTTTACAAAGTACAACCACAGTACACAGCACATTAGTTTACACACTTATCAAATTAGTAGTATTAATTTTATAAGTCTACCTTTTCTTGTGAGAATTTCTGCAAGCATTGTACGTAAGCTGACAGACTGGACATCCTTTGAGGGGAGAAGACAAAACACCAGAACCTGAGAACATGTTTGAAGGAATCTTACTTCATCATTTGAGTTCCTCAAGCATGTATGCAACACAAAAGGCCTTGGCTGTTCCTCATGTCTAAAAGAAATAAATGAAGAAAAGGAAAAGGAAGTAAAGAAATTTCTAGAAACAGTTCAGTTACGTGCCATCAGGTAAAAAAATATTTCAAATGGGGAACACTGGGGTTGAAACTCTGCCACTGACTTCCCAATACCAAAAATCAGTAATTTCCTTAGTCATAGAATAATCTGGAAAACTTGAACTAGAATAAATACAAATGTATAACTTTAGGGGTTTTAAATGACATCATGATAACTACCCTAAATAGCATCAAAAGTTATGACTAGATCCCAAGTCATAGCAATAATCCAAAAAGATATACCTATTTAACTAGACTTTTACATTTTTCTACATTATCTTTTTAAAAGTAATCTATAGCTTCACTTTGTGAAAACAAACAAAAAAACCAAGCCATACACCATTGTAATTGGCCACTTCTCCTGACTAGGAAATCCTAAGTCTATGAGTTATTTCTAGTGAGGAGAACTATAACTTGATGTTGTAAAATTTGATGACAAAAGCCCTCTGTAAGGCTCCCAGATATTTTCCAACTTTGCCATATACCTCTCTGTCAGCACTAATCCCACCCTAGGACCATTAATTTGAAGGGTCTGCATGAAGAGGAGAGGAGAGAACTTTCTATTCTTCTCTACTCCAACAGTATCTTGATGGCAGCCAAGAAAAGACTGGTATTCTCATTTTTCTAATATTATCTAGAGCAGAAGCAAAGGGTTAAAAGATTCTTGTATTAACTGGTGGTCAATACTGAGAAAATGCCATAAACAGAGGGGAGAAGCATACTAGGTACTACACAGGAAATGGAACAAATAAGAAAATGTATGTTGGTGCCCTTATGTCTGATGCCTCTCAGCGTGATTTCTTTTTGCACTGAAGACTAGAGCATGTACACTTAAAATATTTCCTCTTTGTCTTCTATAACAAGCTAGAGGAATTCTATCCTAATATGCAAAGCCAATAACACAAAAAAAGATTTTAAGAATAAGTTTTTATTCATACACTGATGTACACAGTTGATATTTCAATCAAATAAATATTACTCCTTAGCCTTGTTAAGCCCTTCTAAAGTAATTACTTCTTACTTTAAAATACATATTGTATGTATTTTTTGGGAGGTTGGTTAAAAGAAAGTCTACTTTTATAGAATATCAAAATCCCTCTCAAAGTACACAGTCCTTTGTCCATACCAATGGAAGGCAGACCCCCCCCCCAAAAAAAAAAGGCACTGGTCCTCAGAATGCCATAAAGTCCTTTGACTCCTGGATCTGAATTAGGGGAAAACCTGAGCCCTAGGCCAGAGGACTAGTCAAATAAGCTTGATCTGTGGAAAAACTTCCCAGGAAGACCTCCATAGAATCTCTGTGTGAACTCTGAGCAGAGTGAGTGGATAATCAGAGTGAGTGGATAATCCCTCTAGTGAGTGGATAATCAGGAACAGCTTTAGAAACCAAGAAAGGATCATGGGGCATATAGCTATGTGTGGTATGTAGTGAGCCTTCTGGTAGGCTGCATTATTACAGTCTTTATATCAGCCTTCTTCTATCACTGTGACTCAATTACTTACTTACTTGCAATATCTACTATACCTACTACTTACCTCTGGGTTCTCATTCCTTAAGTAAGCAAAAGGATATTACCTTTCATAAGTTTCATATGTACAATTTATTATTTAATCCTCCTACCTATACCCTATCATCACCACCTATCATCATTATCCATGAGAAAGTTAAAATCTGAATGGTTACATGAATAAAGTCATAGAGTCAATAAAAGGTAAAAATAACTCTATTTAAGCTACACCATAATGAGAGATTGCAAAGGGAAAAACATCAGAGAAGAAGGAAGAAAATACATGAATGGAAACATTTTTTCCTAAAACAGCATACCAGTACTTGACTGGCAAATAAAACACAAATTTTAAGAAGACTGTGAAATTAAAATATTAAATTAACAGGGATTTTCCTAAACCATGCTGAAACAAGACAGATGGGATAAAGGAAGAGGAAGTAGAGGCAAGATTTAAATGTGATCTGGACTGGCTTATAGCTGTAGCCCAATGACAGAATGGAAACAAACACAGGTTGTCTAGAAAGCTGTCTCCATACAATTGCCTGACAGTCAACCAGAGGATGTGCTGCTTTTATAAATGCAATTTATTATTCTTTCATCTGTTAGTGGCCAGTTCAATTGGTAGCTCCCCAGGCTACCAAAGTCATTTTGCAGTCAGGTAAAAGATTTCTAGGATGAAAGCACTGTTTATTTGGAGCAGGCAGATACAGATACAATCATCAAGCCTCAATTTGTTGTCTGCCAGTCTTGCTGTGTGATTTGTGTAAGATTACACACAGATAACACTAGATTTGTACAACATGATCATCTATATGCAAAACACCAATGACCTGTTGGCATTTTTCAAATACTGCATCAGAGAACAGTAATAGTTTTTCTTTTATGCTTTTGTTCTTTCTTTCTTTCTTTTTTAATTTTTATTTTACTCATATGTGCATACAATGTTTGGGTCATTTCTCCCCCCTGCTCCCACCCCCTCCCTTACCCCCCCTTACCCCCTCCCTCTCTCCCCCTACCCCCTCGCTACCTGACAGAAACTATTTTGCCCTTATCTCTAATTTTGTTGAAGAGAGAGTATAAGCAATAATAGGAAGGACCAAGGGTTTTTGCTGGTTGAGATAAGGATAGCTATACAGGGCATTGACTCACATTAATTTCCTGTGCGTGGGTGTTACCTTCTAGGTTAATTCTTTTTGATCTAACCTTTTCTCTAGTTCCTGGTCCCCTTCTCCTATTGGCCTCAGTTGCTTTAAATTTCTTTATTTTTTTAATCAACTACAGGTTTTAGGATTAGCCTTGTAAAATCTACCTTTGGCCTAAGAAAATCAGAAGCCCAAGGAGACAGCGCTTCTAATAGAGAATCAGTTCTCTGTTTCTATTATTCTGATGCTTTACTTATAACTTACCTTTATATAATCCTCAAAAACAGTAATTTCAGAAGCTATAAATGTCAAATGAAAAATAAATTCTTATGTTGAAATTGGGTAATCATAAAGACATTAAAATTTGTCTACCACTTGCCCTTTGCACCTAAACTTTAAATCCACCATTTTAACTAGAATAAATAATGATTTAAAATACTATCCTCTACTGGAACGTAACTCCAATAATTTCAAGTGAGTTTCCACTGAATTCAAACAAGTCTTTGACAGTGTAAGTCAGACAGAACTATGGAAAACACAATTACTGTGTGCTCAAAGGGACAGGTAAATAATTCAAAAGACAGAAGCTAATGAGACTTCAAGGACGTGACCCAAGAATCTTGCTTCTCTCACTTTCCTTATTCACTCCCCCCACCTCACTGAAAGTTACTTTCACTACAAACAGCAGTTCTGAAAGGGTAGCCCAGAGACTTTGTGTCCCCAGGATCCTCTGAAGTTCTGTGAGGTTAAGACTATATTCCTGGTAATATAAAAATGTCATTTGTCTTTTTCACTTGCATTTCCACAAGTGCAGTATTTTCCACAGGCTATTTAATATATAATGATGCCATAACTTTGACTGCAAATGGAAATTGTACTATGCACTCTTGAACTTTAAAAACTTCTTGGTTTTAGTATCTAATATGGTAAATATTGATAGATATTATGAGTAGTTCTGGTAAATGTTTAACTTGTTCTCCATGGGGAAAAAAAAATTCTGACTTAGAGTATTTACACAGTGTAAATGGCAGATTTCAAGCGAGTAATATGACCCCACTAAGCCCAAAGCTGGGAAGAGATCTGAACACTCAGCTCTAACATGCCAGTGCAAGTTGGTGCCAGCATGTCACTAGACCCCAGTAGCTTTTAAGGTCATAGAGGAATTTTGAGATTAAAAAAAAAAAAATCCAAGAACCACTACTCCATAGTAATGTTTTTCAAAACACAGATCATGAATAAGAAGTAACACAATAAAACTGAGTTGGTCTCAAACAGCATTAAAAAAAGTATTAAAGAACAAAAAAAAAAAATCAAAGTTACCACAAGTAATAAAAAAGTACTGTCTTATGAAAGTATGTCATGATTTATTTTTATTTATTTATAATTTATTTATTGCAGGACAGAACCCAGGACCTTGTGCTTGTAGGCAAACACTCTACCAGTGAGCTATATTCCCAGTTGTGGGTCGCAATCTAAAATGCATACCTCACTTTGTGTCCAGTTAAAATGAAGACTGTAAAACACTGAGGGCAGTAAGCTGGAAAACAGTGAGCATGCAAAGGCTCTGGATTCTGGCGTCATAATCCTGATATGAGTAGATATGGGGAGAGAAGATAGTTCATAGGAAGAGATAATATACCTAAGAATGGGGACTTGCTACACAACCAGGTTCCATGCAAGGGCAGTATTATAGGACAAAATAGGGACTATTTTCTGATAAAATATAAGAGCTTCTGAGAAGAGAATGTGAGTTATCACCTGTCCAATAAAAGATGCCAATACTTACTCCTTATATAAGTACTTCATCTCTTCTCTAAAAGTGAGAACAGGCCATGTTTACTCTAGGTCATCCCATTCCTACTCTATCCAAGTCCATATGGAAAGTGGCAAAAGGCTATTCATAGCAGCAAGACTACTTTTTACATACAAACTACAAGAGCTACAATTTATTATCCTTGTATTTATTCAAGAGTAAGACATACATTTAGGAACCTATTGGCAAACCTAAGAAAATAAGAATTTATTAGGGGAACAGAAATGGTTGTAAGTATTCTTCCAAAAGTAGGTTCTCACCTAATAGGCACAAACAGACCTTTCGACATGGCAGTATCAGGGGCTAACAAGCCAATATATTAGTTATTTTTCACAATTAAACACAATGAAACAAATTCTCTATTTAGAGCCCCAAACTTCCAATATTAAGTTCTTTTAATAATCAGTTTTAGGATATTGTGATGCAGTTGAGCTCTTATTAGAGGAATCACAAAATGAAACATGAACTGTACTTCAATTTCTCTAAAATTTGTAAACTCATTAACACTGGTCATATTACAAAATAGTATGTTTAAAATTTTCTATCTTTAGGTACCATAAGTTCATCATGGTACAGGCTCAGTAAAATTCATCTCAATGTTTTAAGTTATCTATAAAATAAAACATTATCTATAGAGTAGTTCTCCTATTAGAAAGTTACCCCAAAATGTACTCTATTGGAACACTATTAATTATTTCTTCTCAAACTTTACAAGTTAAGTGACAGCAAGAGGCAGGATTTCTATATGGTTGTCTTGACTTTGAACCTTTACTCAAAATAAAAGTATGTGAAAGGGGACTGTGGACATTGTAACAGTTACCTGGCATTAGCAGCTTTCAGGTCACAGAAATGAGTGAGCAGAGTCCTTACAACATCATGGCAGACAACTTTAACAACATCCACATGACTGAGCCTGTGGCGCAGCTGTCTGGCAATCTCCCAAAAGTCTTCCAAGAGCAGATGGTAAAGCTGTCCCTCATCTCTGCTGAGGTTCCCATACCAGGAAAGGATGTAATCTCTATAACTGTAGTCAAACACTATCAGGAATAAACAAAGCAATGAGTAAATCGTAGATGAAAGAAGCAAACGCCAAGGCAGCCTTTTTACTGGAAACTGGCTGCCTGTTTAATATTCATTATTTAAAATATAAAGAGTAGAAAACAGAGCTCAAGAGAAGACAGATAATTTTTCTGAAATCTTTAAAAGATCCTCATCTAACTAAAATGTTTGGGTATAGAGATCATAGTCCTAGATTTATTTTAGTCAAATTTTTAAAATATTTGATCTCAAGGCCAATCTAATTAACACTCCTCCCCCCACAATAAAGCATCTTACATAGTGGCAACACATTTCCCGTAGCCTTGGATTGCCTCAAACTTCTCAACCACCACATAGGTCAAGGTCATGCTCTCTGGATCTCAATTCTGGGATGAAAGACACTTCTAAATTTATTCTATCTTAAGATGCTTTGCCTCAGCCCCTACAGCTAGTGGCTGCTCCCATAATCTGTTCGATCTTTACAGCTCTCTTTAACCCTTAGTCATTAATTTCATGTTACAAGATAATGATTCTGTCTACTTAACTTTTCCTATTCAGTTCCTGTGTGGTTTCCATCTACTAATAAGATGTCAACAATGTAGGAAGAATACAAGGCTCAGTATCTGTGGCTTATCACCTTCACTGGGATATTGTATCTAGTCTATTTTCTTAATTTGGGATTAGTTCTATGCCTTAAAATTAGAAAACTCTACTCCTAGACCAGTGTCATCTAACAGAAACACAAGAGCCATGTATATAATCTTAAATTTTCTAGTAGTCACATCAAAAAAGTAAAAAGAAACACATAGAAGTAACTTTAAAAGTATATTTCATTTCACACAATATATTTTAAATGTTATTTCAATATGCAATCAATACTTAAAATTCACTAGTTAAAAAGGAAATAGTTTGCATTTTTTTCAAACTAAACTTTGCTATCTTGTGGGGGTTTTTATACTTTCAGCAATCTCAAATTGGACCAGTCTCATCTTTGATACTTGATAGCCATGTATAGGACTCGTGGTTATCATGTTGGACAGCATAGCTCTAGACCACACAGAAAAAAAAACATGAAGTCAATGTGATCTTTGCAAGGACAAAGATTTTTGAAAAATAAAACAGTACCAGAGTATCCAGACACTGGAGGTTCACACCTATAATCCTAGCTACTTGAGAGGCTAAGATCAGTAGGATCATGGTTTGAGGCTAGCCCCAGCAAATAGTTCTCAAGACCGTATCTCCAAAATAATCAGAGCAAAATGGACTTGGATGTGTGTCTCAAGCAGCAAAGCGCCTCCTTTGCAAGTGTGAGGGCCTGAGTTCAAATCCAGTCCTACCAAAAGGAAAAAAAAAAAATGATACCAGGCTGAAGTGATGACACCCTCAAGTGCCCCAGGGAAGAAAATTTTTAACCACAGAATCCTGTCCCAGATCAAGGATACCAGGGTTATTATCTTTTTAAATCATTTTTTATTTCTCAAAGTTTTTCTTTTATCAAGTAATGTGTTTGAAAAACACTACTGGCTTAATTACTCTCTGACTTAATTTCAGATAACTAATTTATACTTATGCTTTTCTTTGCTTGTCTGTACACTACTTCATCCTCAGGAATACTAAGGAAGATAACTTGTGAACTGGTACATTTGGGAAATACAAGCACTTTTCCTTTTCGTTAAAATTATAACAGAAAATTAAGAACAGTTATAAAACACTTAATATCTTTAAGATAAAATCTTGTTCGGCATGCTAAAGGCTTATTGTGAAGAGCATATTACCTACAAGATGACCCATTTACATTTGTGAAGCACATATATATATAAATTAACACAACTCTAAAGTACTCCTCTGATAATACATTTTGGTTAGAAAATGATAAAAATGGAATATTGGCAAAAATTTGTCCAATATAATAAAAATACCTGTTAGGTACACATATATTTTCCATTAATAGCTCATCAGCACACTTCATGCTAAATATATAATTAAACATATGTAACTTCAAAACTATAATTCTAAATATATATTATATAACTCATTTACACAAATACACATGAGCAAAATATTTTACATACCATATGGGTCCATTCAAGTAAACAAAGATATTTATAATCATAAAATTATTTTATGGCCAATATTAAGAGATAAACATAAATAATATACTTAACCTCAATGAGATATGAAAGAACACTAATTCTCACTCCCAGGCAAAGCATTTTTCTTCTAAAGAGACCTTAACAGCCAACAAAACTCAGGTGCTATCACCTGATGCTATTATCTTTCAAATGCATCTATTTTAGAAGAGCACCCAGGACTGCTCTCAAAGAAGTAGGTAGGTAAAAGGTAGCTGGAGATGACAGAGAATGGAATAATGGTTGGAACTCTAGTTAGGTTAATGAAAACATTTACAGTAACAAAGTAAAACTAGTGGTGAGAAAGATAAAGTTAAAAATGCAACTTACTATTAGTCTAGATAATGGGGTATTAGTTAATGGCTTCCTATAAATTTTCAAACAAGGAAAATGACTCAAGTGAAGTAAATAGTGTAAGAAAGCCCATGAAAGACATTGTTTTCTACCCTTGCATTCTACCAGAGCAATTCAGAGACATGATCTGCTCTGCTCGTGACATCTCTAAGGTATCATAAATGTCCCTGGTCTGGGTCTCCTAGAATAAAGAAATAGTTCTCCTTCAACCAGAAACTGGCTTAATGATAATGATAAAGGAAAACAGTAATTCCATTGTTTGTGGAAGTGATCTTTCATGGTCTGTGAAGTTTTTGTTGTTGTTGTTTGGTGCTGGGAAGTTTTTTGTTGTTGTTGTTTGGTGCTGGTGATTGAACCCAGTGCCTCGTGAATACTAAGTATGTGCTACTCCATCATTGAGCTATGGCTCCAATTCCGGTTTGTGCAGTTTTAAAATGCAATGGAAAGTCATCTTAAGGGAAGATCTGGGGTTATACATTTATGTTACGGACTAATCTGTTTATTCATTCAACAAAAAAAGGTATACATACTGCATGTCACTTGACAAAAAGTCATGAATTAGATGACTCCAGCCTAAAGAGATTAAAGAAATCAAGGCCTTTCGGTGCAAGCCCTGCTTCCTCTGTGTCACCATCTAATTCTCAGACAACTTAATGTCCTCTGGAACAGCCACAAAGGGAGCTGAGTTAAAAAAAAAAAAATTACTACAGGTTCACCTTATCTAAGACTTGTCCCAAAGAAACTAAAAGTTCTGTTGCATTTAGACAATGAACTCACCGTACCTTCTGTTATCATGATCATTTTCAAGTTTGACCCTTTGCATAACGTAGACAACTTACTTACAGGAACATTTGCCACTGAAATTCAGAAAAGTATTAATAGGTTGGGGATTTCACTCAGTAATAGAACACCTGTCTAACATGCTTGAGGCCCTGGGTTTAATCCCTAGCATGGCAAAAAAAAAAAAAAAAAATCAGAAAAGCATTAAGAGCCAATCAAAACTAACAGAAATATATTCACTTTGAAATATACACAAAACATTAGCTGCACTTGTGAAGACCACCATAAAAATTAGTAAAGGTAACAGCATTTCTAAGACATTTAGATAGTAACTTATAAGACAAAAGACTGAGACCAGAATTGACAATGCTACAAAAAGATAAAATCTTAGGAAGAATTAAATTTTCATTCAAGAACTTTCAATTTAACATTCAGGAAATTACTGAGCAAATAGCAAATACTCAATTATGGAATTAAATTATCTGGGCCATATTAGTGACACAAATCAGGGTAATCTAGTGATAATTAGGCAATAGAACTAATCAGATTTAACAGTAAATCAAAAAGACTTTTAGAAGTTATTTTTTTTTCCTCCCCTATCTTCTGTCTGCTTTCCAGGAAATATTACTTTAGAAGAAATATTTACAGGCCTCTGGTATAAAATGACAGCTGTTCTGATTGTTAAACACTCAGTTCATTCATACATCAGAACCTCCTCCAAAATATAGGTCTTATATTTTAAATTGGTTAACAAAATACAGTAATAATAATATGCTTTGAAACCCTCTTCCCAAGTGTACCATTTCACCTCCTGGTTAATAATGTGATCCCTACTGCTCCATATAAAGCCTAACTACATTATTTCCTCTGCATTTCTGACTGTCATTTCTTTCCTCTTGTAATTCAGTGTGCAAAGACAAATCCTAATTTACACCAAGTTACACACAAACACACTTTAGTGACAAAGACTCACATACTAACACGTAAAACATGAATACACGTATACACACGTCATGAATTTTACTAAACTCTTTGAACAAATGTATTTTAAATTATATATTCTGGAAGCAAGAAAATAAATAAACATAAAATGGCACAATAATATTATCTAGTTTAACTCCAGGATGGAATTTTAAAATAAATATTTAATAAGCACTTTGTATCAACTGAATCCAAATAGCTGTAGCCTTAATAAGTATACTGATATTTGTGCTTTGTGAACAACAAAGAAAGATTCAATTTTATCAACATTGAGTCTACTCTAGTTAGATGAATTCCAATTAAATATACTGGTGACAGGGTTTAGAAATATAAATTAAAATACTCTAGAGATGTAAATTATAATCACTATGGATTTTCTAAATGTATGAAACCTCTTAGTTTCTCAATAGTTTCTAGGTTGTAATTCACCACAAGTCTAAATAACCAATTTTTATTATAAATTAGTTACATCCTAAATGCACCCCCCCAACACCCTCTCCTTTCATCAGACCTCCTCCCACCTGGTTCCCCTCCCCAAACAGTCCTGTTTACACTCATGTCATCTTCCCTGGCATTATCTCCTTTGGTCTGGATTGTGCATAAGAAAACATGTGGCATTTGTCTTTCTCAGTCTGGCTTATTTCGTTTAACATGATGATCTCTCATTCCATGAATTTTCTTGCAAGTGACATTTCATTCTTCTTTATGGCTGGATAATACCATTGTGTATATATCACATTTTCTATATCCACTCATCAGCTGATGGACACCTAGGCTGATTTCATACTTTTGCTATTGTGAATAGTGCTGCTATAAACTTGGGTGTGCAGGTATATGCTGACTTTGATTCCTTTGGATATATGCCCAGGACTGGTATAGCTGTATCATATGGTGATTCTGTTTTTAGTTTTTGAGGAACTTCCATACAGATTTTCATAATGGCTGTACTAATTTACATTGCCACCAACAAAGTATAAGAAGCCCTTATCCCTCTTCCCCTTACCCATGCCAGCATATGTTGTTTTCTTGATCACAGCCATTCTGACTGGAATGAGATGGAATCTCATTTTAATTTGCATTTCCTTTATGACTAAGGTTTCTGAACATTCCTTGATATATTTATTGGCTATTGTACTTATTTTGATAATTGTCTATTTAACCCATTTGCCCATTTATTAATTGGATTATCTGTTCTTTTGGTACTTAATTTTTGGAGCTCTTTATATACTCTGAATATTTGTTCTTTATCTGTTGAATAGTTGGCAATCATTTTCTCCCATTCTGTGGGTTGTCTCTTGATTCTGGTAGTTTGTTTCCTTTGCTGTGCAGAAGGTTTTAATTTGATGAAATCCCATTTGTCAATTCTTGATATTATATCCAAAGCAACTGAAATCTTACTCAGAAGGTTGTTGTCTACTCCCGTACCTTCAAGAGTTTTCCCTATGCTTTTGCTTAGCGGTTTCAAGTCATATGTAAAGGTCTCTGAACCATTTTGAACTGATTTTCACACAGGGTAAGAGACAGAGATGTGGTTTCAGTCTTCTACATGTGGATATCCAGTTTTTCCCAACATTGTTGAGGCTGTCTTTTTTCCAACATGTGTTCTTGACTCCGTTGCTAAAAATCAGATGGCTATAGCTATATAAGATTATTTCTGTATCATCTATTCTATTCCATTGGTGTACACGTCTGATTTTTGTGCCAGTACTAAGCTGTCTCTGTTACTGTGGTTCTATACAATATTATTATGATAGCTCCAGCAGCATTGCTCTCTTTACTCAGGATTGCTTTGGCTATCAGGGTCTTGTGTGATTCCATATGAATTTTAAGATTGAGTTTGCTATTTCTGTATAAAATGAATTGTGATTGTGCATGAAGCTGTAGATTGCTTTGGTAGTATAGTCATTTTCACAAATCAGTGTGCCAATCAATGAACATGGAAAGTCTTTCCACCTTCTAGAATCTTCAATTTCTTTCTTCAAAGTTTTGTAATTTTCATTTTAGAGGTGTGTGCACTCCTGAGTTAGGTTATTGCTAGGTATTTAGTTTCTGTTTTGAAGATATTGTGAACAAGATTCTTTTCCTGATTTCTTTCTCAGCCTGTTAGTAATGTATAGGAAAAACTACTGATCTTTGTATAGCAGACCCTTGGTATCTGCAGGTGTATGGTTCCAAGAAAATCAGCACTGAGAGAAAAATACAACTGTTCAGGATGCATAGAGTTCTTTACTGTACTGCACATGATTGATTCATTTTTCCCCAAAATGCCACCCAACTTCCTCTAAAGACATGTCACCTTTGAACAAATCTAAAATTTTCACTTTATCACCTAAATTAAGCACATTTTATCTTGATATCCGAGCATCACCTGCTTTTTGGGAGGCATATTTTCACAAAATTAAGGGCAGAGAAATACTCAGCAGATCACACAATGATTTAAATGCAACTAACAAAAACAACAAGACTGACTTTCTTTGCATCAACTGTGCTGTACAATGTGCATGTGGGAAAGAATTTGGGATGTAAGGGCGAGCTGACTGCGACATCTGTCATCCCATTGATTGCCAGGGTTGATTCAGCTGATCTGGCTGGCTAGGTAGGTGTCCCCTTCCTCCCTCACCGCTCCACGTGCGTTCCTCACAAAGCTGCATGCTCAGTTGAAGAGGACGACCATCCCTAATAAAAGAGGACTGTTCTTTGGTCAAGGGAATACGAGTAGCTGTGCCCCCTGCTAGAACCTCCAAACAAGAACTCACAAAACTTTTTTTGATTATTTTTATTTACTGTGATTGGTCAAAACTGCAAATAGGGCTCTGTATGCTGATTATGTATTGTGCTATTTTGGTAAAAGTGTTTATCAGTTCTAAGAAGTTTTTGTATAGTCTTTAGTATAAATCACCAAATTTTTTAGAAGGTCATTCTAGTTTTCTTTTGTAATTGTTGATTAACAACTACTGACAAACTAGGTGTGGTAGAGAATGCCTATAATCCCAACATTCTGTGGTGGGAGCAGGAAGGTGGCAAGTTGGAGATCAGCCTGAGCTCTATTGTGAGATCATATCTCAAAACAAATAAACCAACAAACAAAAAAAAAATCACTGTCAATTTCATAAACTGTACTCTGATAATCAACTTTATAGCAGCCGATAGCCCTCCTTTTGGTAGATAATAAAATGTTCAACTTCCCTGAAAACCATCTTATGTAACACAAAGGGCAAGAAATTTGAAGATCAAAAATGTGGTTTATGGCAAGTGATCAAGAGGACTGCTATTCAAGGCCAGCTGGACCAAGACCGCATCTCAACAAATAAGCAAGGCATGGGTAGTATGTTCCTGTAATCCCAGCTATTGAAGAGGAGTAAGAGGATCATGGATCAAGGATGTTTATATGTATTTATGAAAACTACTGATTGTACACTTAAGATTTGTGCATTTCAAAGTATAGAAATTTTACCTCAAAAAATCTATTAAGAATATTCTTTAAAACCATGATTTGGAGATTATAAATAATAAAAGTCAAATTTTACATACAGTAAGTTTCAGAAAAGTTACTGTATTTTTAACCACTAAAACAATAGGAATATTTTAAAGTTTAATTATAGCCCACAGCTAGGCACCGATGGCTTACGCCTGTAATCCTAGCTACTCAGGAAGCAGAGATCAGAAGGACTGTGGTTCGAAGCCAGCCTGGGTAAATAGTTCTTTGAGGCCCTTCACAAAAAAAGTTCGAAAAAACCCCTCACAAAAAAGGGCTGGTAGAGTGGCTCAAGGTATAGGCCCTAATTCTAGCCCCAGTGCCACACACACACACACACACACACACACTTTAAATTTCTGTAACTCCCACAACTTCAAACTGTTTCTGTACCTCTGCAGTTTCACCTTCACATTTTAGCATGCTGACTGCTGTGAACACCAAATAAAACATACTTGTTTATGTATCACTAACTCAGTTCTTTTAACTTATACCAAACACCACATACTCACCTAAACACTAAGACTTTTTTCTTGCAACTAAAATTGTCAGTATTTTCAGAAATCTGATTAAAAAAGATATTTTCAAACCTTAATTGGATCTTCAAAATATATTACCTTTTAGAACAGGAGGGCAGAACAGGTCCTGCGTGTTAGGGTTGGTACCAGTGTGTGGGGGGAAGGGCATGGTAGGGAGACTATGGTGTAAATACTGTGCACACATGTTATGTAAATGGAAAAATGAGACCTGTTGAAACTATTCCAGGAATGGGGGGAGTAGGAGGGGATAAAGGAGAATGATGGAGGGGGTGAATTCAACTATGATATATTTGATATATTGTAAGAATTTCTGTAAAAGCTGCAATGCACCCCCCACCCAGCACAACAATAAAAAAAAAAGAAAGAAAAAAACCCAAAATATATTCCTTTTTCAAAACCTTAATATTTATGACACTTACGCATTCCACTTTCAGGACTATCCCACACTGCACCGCCCACCATTCCCCCTTGGGTCTTCTCAACACAATCCCCAACGCTCTTCTCTAGGTTAGATATACAAGAAAATAGTCTTTCCTGATACATATTTGAGAGAACAGAGAGCAGATCTGTGTTTCATATGGCCGAGAAATGTCTACTTGTCTGGTTAGCTCTATGTCATCTGGAAATCTCTACTCAATGTTTCAATCACTTCCATTCAGTCATCAAATACAAACTTAGGAAGAAAAGTATTAGTAATGCTACAGGAGGAAGGATAAATTTGCTAGAAGTCACAGTTTTCCTGTTAGCACACCAGTCTGTCTCTATTGTAATTATACAGTCTCATTTAACCCTTACCTTCTTTCAGAGCTTTGTCCATATTATGAGAAATGACTACCCTTCTAGACTGAGCTGTCTCATGTGAGTTTCCGCACACAGGATTCTGAAATGTAAGAGAGGAAAGGATAAAGATTATTGAATGAATACTTTACATATAAAAATAAACTCAAAGGGCTGGACACAGTGGTCATACCTATAATCTTCGCTACTTGGGAGGTAGAGATTGAGAAGATAATGGTTCAAGGCCACCCCCTGCAACAGTTCCTAAACCGCCTCCCCCAACCCAATAGCCAGGCACGGTGATATGTGTCTGTTATTCCAGGAAGATGACATGAAAAGAGACCCTATCCCAAAAATAACTAAAGCAAAAAGGGCTGAGGGTATGGCTCAAGTGGTATAGTGCCTGCCCAGCAAGCACAAGGCCCCAAGTTCAAACCCCAGTACCACCACAAAAAAAAAAAAAAATGTATGATATGCCATCTAAACAAGAATTAAGGTAATAATTAACAGATTATTATATTCTTCTGGAAAAGTAGATTAGTGTTGGAGGTTAAAAATTTTTTGGAAAAAAAAAAAAGAATTAAGAAAGGATTTTTCCCTACCAAGTATCAGTATCTTACAGTGTAAGAATGGTAGGAGAGTATCTACACAACAGTAGAAAAGTAGAAAACAGATGTACCTATAATAGGAATTAAAAGTATAAGAAAAATTTGAAGCCAGGAGCTGATGGCTCATGTCTGTAATCCTAGCTACTCAGGAGGAAAAGATTAGGAAGATCAAGGTTTGAAGCCAGCCCTGGGGATATAGAAAATTCTCAACACATGAAAGGGCTGGTTGAGTGATTCAAGTGGTAGAGTGCCTGCCTGGCAAATGTGAGGAAAAATTTGAAATCAATGAAGAAAAGGACACACTGTTGCATAAATAATGGTGGGATAATTTTACATTCATGTGAGGAAAAAAAAAAAGTAGCCTTATATTTTATAAATAATTTCAAATTGGTTGAGGAGTTAAATATTTTCTTAAACTAAAAAAGAAAAGAAAATATGGCAAAGCTGTTCACAATCTTGGGGTATTGAAGGTTTCTAAAATAAGGCACAAATTCCAAATGTTATAAAGGAAAACCAAAAGACAAATATGATTGTTTAAACTAGAAAATTCCTATTTGACCAAGATGCTATAAGCAAAATAATAAGCTAGGATACAATATATAAAACATGTAACAAAGGACTATTATATAATATGTATGTGTATATGTGTACATACACAAAAATAAGAAAAATATGAGAAAATCAATCAAAAGAGTCACTATAAAAGATAAAAAAATGGCCAATAAAAACCTGAAAATATATGCAATCTTTCTCTTGGAGAAATGCAAGCTGGAACAATGACACACCATCAGATTGCCAAAGGAGGGGAAAGATACATGTTGGCAATGAGTAGGGAAATAGTTGCTGTCATGTGTTTTTGGTAGAATGTTGATTTCTCCAAGCCTTTAAGAAGGAACTGAATCACAAATATTAGAAAGTTAAATGAGAAGGGCAGGTGGAGTGGCTTAAGTGGTATGGTAGGAGTGCCTGCTAGCAAGTAGTTCAAACCCCAGTACTATAAAAAAAGAGCTATCTTTTGATTCACCAATTCCACTCCTATAGCCAACAGAAATACATACACATATGCAAAAAAGTATATATACAAAGAATTTCACTTATATGGGCAAAACTTAGAAATATCCAAGTGTAAATCAATAGTCAAACAGGGCTGAGGTCATACCTCAGTGATACAGGGCTTGTCTTGCACGTGCAAGACCCTGGCTTCAAACCCTGGCACAGCAAAAAAAAAAAAAAAAAAAAAAAAAGAGTTAAATAATAGCATGCTATTAAAAAGCAAGCTTTAGGAATGAATATATATTCACATATACATACACATACATACACACACACACACCATCAAGAAAAATTTTCCATCTTGAGAAAATGTTTAGAAGCTCAAACACAAAACTATTAAAAGTTCTTTCTTGGGGGGAGAAATGGCCCAAACAATGCATGCACATATGAATAAATGAATAAAGAAAAAAAAAGTTCTTCTAGGTGGGGCATAGAATTTTAACTTCTTACTCTCTATACATCTGTATAAAAGGAAGTAATGTTTTGAAAAACTAATTCTATAACTAATACTGCTTGGCATTTAAAAAATAACAAAAGGAGGGATTATATACACAATAATAATATCACTATCTAGCTGGTAAGACTAATTAAAGAAAAAAAATTAATTGATCACATACAAAGTGAACAAAAGCACGTAAATGTAACTGGGATCTACTCATTGGCATGGCAGAAAAATAACAGAATTTAAAAAAATCGGAAAGCAGCTTTTGTGGATGAGATATACCACAAGTGCTGGATCAGCATTATCATGTCACTGAGGAGATCTAAAGAGCTGAAACGACTCTGACTCTCATCCAACAAACATGAGGAAGTCACTTCGTTCTCAACTATACCACACCAACACAGCTGCAATCAGTTCTGTGGCAGTAGGCCATCCAAGGAGAGAACTTCCAGTATTTGGTCCCATGCTACCCTTGGGCTGAGTGCCAAAAGTATCATCCCTGTTTGTGTTTGTTGTTATTAAAACAAACTAGCCATAGCTTTGAGATTTCTTAGTGGAAATACTTTGTTTGGCTTACGCCTATAATCCTAACTACTCAGGAGGCAGAGATCATGAGGATCGAGTTTCAAAGTTAGCCCAGAAAAATAGTTCATGAGACCCTATCTCGAAAAAAGCTCATCACAAAAACAGGGCTGGTGGAGTGGCTCAAGGTGTAAGCCCTGAGTTCAAACCCTAGTACCTGCTCCCCCAACAAAAAAAAGAGACCCTATCTTGAAAAAGACCTAACCAAAAACAGCTGGTGGAGTGGCTCAAGTGATAGAGCACCTGCCTAGCAAGTGTGAGGCCCTGAGTTCAAACCCCAGTACCATCAAAAAATGAAAAACCTTAAGATATATTAAGATATATGTATTGCACCTATGAAAGAACAGACATTCCTTTATGCTACAACTCAACAAACAGCATTCAACACTTTCCCAAGAGTTTTAAAAAAAAAAATCATATGGACAAAGCCATTTAGTACACTGAAAAACCCACTCTCACCATTTCAACTATTTTCTAGTCCCTTGGTAGCTCTCCATCAATTTATATGGTCAGATTTAATTCTAAATTTTTAATATAGTTCATTTAAAAAGATAGGAATTGTAAAATTGTAGTGCTTTTTATACATCAAGCAGATATTTAAACAACTTATGAGTTTTCTGGATAATCTTTGAATTAAACACTTTTAAGAGGACCATACCACCAATAAGGAATTTTAATCACAACTTACCTAGGCTTTGACAAGTTGTCTGGTATGGCTTCCAAAATATAGCTATAGTAGTTTTAGTGCCCAAGAGTAGATGATAAGACCAAAGCCAAACACTTAGTTGAGAAATCCCTGAATTTGGTTCTTAAAATGTAAGCTGTCTTAAAGGGCTGGAACAAAAACAGGTATGAGTGTCCCTGACACATAGTACAGTGTACCAACCTCGCATCTTGGTTTCCAGCCCTCAGTACTATTAGGGGGTGGTGGAGCCTTTGGGCACTGAAACCTTTAGGTGGTAGGATGGAAGGAAGTAAAAGGAAATGAGGTCACTGGAGGCATGCCCTAAAGGGACACTGGAACTCCAGCCCTTCCTATCTTCTGCTTCTCTTCCACACCCTTCCTGCCATGATGTTCTTCCTTGTCACAGGTCCAAAGGCAACAGGGGCAAGCAACCGTGGCTAAAACCTCTTAAACGTGAGCCACAACAATCCTTTTCTCCTTTAAGCTCATTTCCCTCAGCAACAGAACGCAGATTAAAATGCATGCACATATGAAATATATTCTGTGCATATGTGTACCTTACAGCTTCCGTCAAAACCTTCCATTTTAAAATTCCTCCTACTGTTTTTCTTCTCCCTACTTATGCGTCTACCCCCTCTTCCATGTGTCTGCATGTTTCTTTTATCTCTCCACTGGATACTTAGATGGCTACATCTGAATAAAGCCTTTGGTATCTTTAATTTAAAAGCTGAGAAGAAAGTCACAGGGTTTTTCCAGGGGCTGGGGCTAGGAGTAATTATTTAGTGAGTAGTTTCAGTTTTCCATTACACAGATGGTGATGATGGTTACACATTATGAATGCTGCATATGCTGACAAACTTTAAGGTAGTAAAATATATTATATTTAGGCAAATAAATAAAGGGGAGTCTAGCTTATGAGCATACAATTTTCTATTTTGGCTCTTTAAGCAAAAATTTTATTTTTTTAAATCTGATTTTCCATTTGGTTCTGGATTTCCTCCAGTCTACCTTTTAGGAGTCACTAGACTTTACTGTTAAGAAATTCTTATTCCTATCGCAACCCTACAGCCTGATGAGACTCTGTAAGGAGAACAAGGAAGACTAAAAAATAGAACATATGAGCCAAGGTGGGTGGTGGCACATGCCTGAAGTTCTAACTACTGGACAGGCTGGGGGGGGAGGGTCATTTGAGCTCATATGTTTGAGAGCACCCTCGAGGAAAATAATGATACCTGGTATTAAAAGGAGAGGGAAAAAAAAAAGCCAGTTGCACATGGCTACAAATCCCAGTACTTAAGAGGCTAAGACAGGAGGATCATGACTTCAAGGCCAGCCTGGGCTATATACTGAGACCTTGTTTCAAAAAAGAAAACGGAAAACACCAAAACAGGAAAGTCCTGGGTCAAAAATAACTGGGTTACTATGCATGTAAATTTCTTTTTGCTTTTTTTTTTTCTTCTTGGCACAGGGTCTCACTAAGTACTCTACGTACTCTCAGATAAGCTGGAATTCCCTATGTAGCCCAGACTGTCCTCAAACTCACAATCTTTCTGCCTTAGCTCCCAAATGCTGTGATTACAGGCATGCACAAGCACTCTCTACTTAAATTCCTTTTCAAGAATTTAGTATATAGGGAGCCTGAATCTCCTCATGTTGAAATGAATTTAAGCTAGCCACACACACTCTATTTCTTTTAGGAGGAAGGAAAAATGGAAGGAAGGAAAATGAAAATATAAACAAAATGTAAACATAAACAAATTCTCAAGCAACAACTGTCTTCATTCTCCTTCTATTTATAGGTTTAAGAAAAAGAAATTCCACAGGAAGACTTCCCCCAAAGACTTATTCTTCTATCGATCTTCATTCCTTAGGTAAAACCTACCTCTTCCCTGACAATCACTTTCCTAAAATGCTGAGTTTAGGAAAGGTAAAAATAAAATATGTGTACTTCTCCCACAGTCACAAAAGATAACTGGTAGAAATCTTTAATGTCCAATCCAGAAATTCAGACTTCACATGCAATCTGACCACTTCACTCTTGCGCTAAGATTTTAGTATTCATATCACAAAATTAACTCATAAATCTTTTGGTGAACCAGACAATTATTATGAAAAAAATATACCTTATTTTTTATTTAATTAAAATAAATAAAATAAGTCCTTATTTTAAGATTTAAAACTAACTCAAAATTACAAAGATCATTTTTAATCACTCAGTGAGTTCTCTGGAGGGAAATAATTAGAGATCTAACATGCAATTGTTGATTTTAAAAGCATTTTCCAAAGTCAGGCCAAAACCTAAAAGCTTTTCTCTAACATATGTAACTAGATCCTCAGCATCAAGAAGAACACATATCGCAGGCTGGCAGAGTGGTTCAAGTGGTAGAATGCTTGCTTTAGCAATCGTCAGGCACTGAATTCAAACCCCAGTATCAACCCTAAAGGAAAGGGAAGAAAGGGAGCAAAGGAAGAAAGGAAGGAGGGAGGGAGCAAGGGAGCAAGCATAGGAGGGAGGGAGGGAATGAGGTACTAGCAAGCCTAAGGCTCCAAGTTCAAACCCCAGAACCACAAAAACAGCAACAAAAAAGAACATATTGTATCAATAATACAATCCTGAATTACAATCAGCTTTTCAGTCGACAGCCATATTTCTCAATAACGAAATAACACCCAGAGAGAAACCATGCAAAGATTGGGCACTCTGACATTGTCAACTAGACGACCAGGAACTGTCTGGAATCTAGCCTACACATCCGCCTCACTGTCTACTGTCTGGAAAACGGCACTGTTCTCCGGGTGGCTTCCAAGCCAATCATGACTTGTAATTCCTCTCATGCCTGCTCAAATAAACACGTCTCTCCCCTTCATTATGTACACTTATAGTTTAAATGTTTTTCATTGTATTTCAGTTTATTTTTAAACGAAAAACAGTTGAATGTAGTTCAAGGGGTGATGGGTGTAATTTCCTGTATGGCAATTTAAATGACCATTTATCTTACAAAAGCAAACACAAACTGCCAATAATCATCATTCACCACATGGCTGTCACCAGGCTGAGTCTCTGCAAGTATTTTAGCATCTGACAATTCATTGGGATCCCATGACTGAGGTTCTCATTCTTAAAACTATGTTACTCTCAAACTGAGGCTCCCTTCAAAACAGTCATATTGTCATGGCCTCAAAAAATAATTTATTCAAAACCAAAGAAATGAAGAAACCAAGCCCTATCTGTCTTCAGGAGGATAAGAAGGGACAAAGAAATTTGAAATGGCATATAATTAGACTAAGACTCAGACAAAAGATGACATGAGCAAGAGAAGTCATCCTCAACATGGAGGCTGAGCAGCCCTGAAGAGAGCTGAGTGTGACAGAGCAAGAGAAAAAGAGCACAGGATCCAAAGACAAACAGGCCTAGGCTCTGCTGCTTACTCATAATCCACCTTTGGCCCCAGACACTTTACTGTCCAGTCTCTAAGTGGGGTTAATGTTCCTTAGAGGATTAAATAAAATTAGTGTCAGGGCTCCAAAAAAAAAGAAAAAGAAAGAAAGAAAAAAAGAAAAAAGAAAAAGACAATAGGGGCCTGGAAAAAGATAATAAATGCGTATGGAGTGGGATCAGACAACTGCACTGATACATGTTCTCATTTTTTTATTCCAACAAACTCAAGAATTTTAGATGACATCTCCAATTATTTTAATGTTATTCCAAACACTGGGCCAAACTGTTCAAGCCATGGGCATCTCGTCTGCCATGTTCACTCACATGAAGTTCTTGCAGAAAGCCTGGCATACAGCCACAGAATATAGTAGTCATGACTAATAAACTCAAATGTGATCTTAAGAACATTCACCATGTGGACGGATGACTAACGGATTGTAGAAGGACAGGGGTGGTGGAAATGAAAGCAAGATGGAAGGACAGGAAAGGTAAGCCACTAGAGTAATGGAGCACACCATTCTTTAAATATTTTTGCCTTTTTAAAAAATTTACTTTTATTATTGCTGTACTGGGAGTATACTGTGACATTTACAAAAGTTCTTACAATATATCATAGCTGAATTCACCCCTTCCATCGTTCTCCTTTGTCCTTCCCTCCCTCCACTCCTGGTTTCAACAGATCTCACTTTTCCATTGACATATATGTACACAATATTTCCACCACATTCACCCTCCTACACCCTTTCCTTATATCCTTCTCCCTCCCACTGGTAACAGCCCCCAGACAGGACCTGTGTTCTGTTTTTGTTAAAAAAAAAAAAAAAGACTTTTTTGTTAAGATCGCTATACAGAGTATTTCACTATAACGTTTCCATATATATATTATATATATAATATATACATATGTATTTAAATAGATAGATAGATGTATTACAGCCCAAATTGGTTCATCCAATTTGGTTCCACTCTCTCCACTCTTATTCAACAAAGTCTTGGAATTCCTAGCCAGCACAACAGGACAGGAAAAAGAAATAAAAGGAAATCAAATAAGAAAGGAAAAAGTCAAATTATCCCTATACACAGATAACATGATCTCTATACCTAAAAGACCTAGAAAGAACTGCACCAAAAAACTCCTAAACATCATAAACACCTTCAGCAAAGTAGCAGGACAAAAAATCAATTTACAAAAATCAGTAGCCTTTCTATATGGCAACAATGAACAGACTGAGAAAGAATCCAGGAAAACAATTCCATTTACAGTAAGCCTCAAAGAAAATAAAACACCTAGGAATAAACTTAACAAGGGAAAGACCTCTACAATAAACTATAAGCGCTAAAGAAAGAAATCAAAGAAGACTACAGAAGATGGAAAGATCTCCCATGCTCATAGATTGCATGTAGAATCAATATTGTGAAAATGGCAATATTACCAAAAGTAACATGCATGTTTAATGCAATCCCTATCAAAATTCCAATGACACTCATCACAGAAACTGAAAAAATCAACCCTAAAGTTCATTTGGAATCATGGAAGACCACAAATAGCCAAGGAAATACTGAGCAAAAAGAGCAACGCTGGAGGTGTTACAATACCTAACTTCAAACTATACTACAGAGCCATAGCAATAAAAACAGCATGGTACTGGCACAAAAACAAGACATGAAGAACAGACAGAATAAAAGACCCAGATATGAATCCATGCAGTTATGCCCATCTGATTTTTGACAGATGCCCAAATATATGATGGAGAAAAGATAGCCTCTTCAACAAATGTTTCTGGGAAAACTGGCTATCTGCATGCAAAAAACTGAAACTAGATCCATGTCTTCCACCTGTATAAGTATCAGCTAAAGTGGATTAAAACCTTAATGTAAGACCTGAAACTCTGAAGGTAGTGCAGGAAAGAGCAGGACAAACACTGGAATCAATAGGCATAGGCAATGACTTCCTTAATAGAACTCAAAAGGCTCAGCAAGAGAAATGATTGACAAATGGGACTACATGAAATTAAAAAGCTTCTGCACAACAAAAGAAATGGTCACCAGATTGAATAGGGAGCCCACAGGATGGGAGAAAATCTTTGCCAACTACATATTTGACAAGGGACTGATAACCAGAATACACAGGGACCTCAAAAAACTAAACTCCCCAAAAAAACAATGACCCAATGAAGAAATGAGCAAATGAACTAAACAGTTTTTTTCAAAGGAAGACGTCCAAATGACCAAAAAACACATGAAGAAATGCTCAGCATCCCTGGCCATAAAGGAAATTTTAATCAAAACAACATTAAGATTCTACCTCCCTCTTATTAGAATGGCTACTGTCAAGAACACAAACAATAATTTTGCCTTTGAGGCTAGGCTTTCTCGAGGAAAGTACACTGTTCCTGGAGATGCTCTACTGGGCCTGGGCCTTTACGCTTCCTATTACTGGTCAAGTATTTAAGCATCCAAGCAAAAGCACCTTTGACAGAAACCAGAACTGCTCTATGATGCTTAATCATGAGCTACAGAATACCTTGGTTTTCCTATCAATAAAAGAAAACTGTGAAACACACATACTAAGAAGAGTTTTGTACTGACAGGAAAGGAGTGGTTAGAAAAGGAATGGTATTTCCATTCCACCCACACTCACACACTTTTTTTTTTTTTTTTTTGCGGTACTGGGGTTTGAACTCAGGGCTTCTCACTTATTAGGCAGGCGCTCTTACCACTTGAGTCACTCCACCAGCCCTTTTTTGTGTTGGGATTTTCGAAATAGGGTCTCTCAAACTATTTGCCTGTGGTTGGCTTTGAACTGTAATCCTCCTGATCTCTGCATCGCAAGTAACTTGGATCTCCCCCTTTTTTTAAGTAGAGATTTTTTATTCTAATTAAATTTTAACTATTAACATAGAAACATGAAATTATACATACTAATGGGGTGATGTTTTGATACATCTATATACTGTAGTAGGTTTAAATCAAGATAAATATATGTATCTCTTCAAGTTCTTTCTATGCAAACTTTTAAAATCCTTTCTTCTAGGCCAAGCACGATGGTTCATGCCTGTAGTCTCAGCTACTCAGGAAGCTGAAAGAGGAGGACCACATGAGACTATAAGACCAGAAGCATAAGGACAATCTGGGCAAAATGGTGATGCCCTGTCTACCCTCCCCCCAAAAATCCTTTCTTCTAGCTCTTTGAAATGTACAGTACATTACTGTTGTCTATAGTCACCTTACCATGCAATAATAGCATACCAGATTCCCCCCACTTAAACAAGTACTAATTTCTATTTTAAATACAAGGAAATAAGTTATTTTTTGAAATTCAAATCTACAAATTTTTTCATATGTTGTTTTTCTAGATCTCAAACAGGCTATAATGTCTTTTTTTAAAATGTTATTTCAAACTATATAAAGAGCAGAGACATTCTATAATATATTATAAAAGAATTAGAACCTAAGTCATAATGACATCATCCAGAGATGGTAACTATTAATATTTTGGTGTATTTACTACCAGTCAGTGTGTCCAACATTTTCTATGTAACCTTGGACAAGTAGTTTTTCTGCACCTCAATTTCCTCACTGTAAAATACAGATAACAATAGTACCTACTTTTTAGGGTTAATATGAGCATTAAATGAACTAGTGCAAAGTACAACAATGTCTTGGAATACATTAATAATTACAAATTATTGGTACTTTTTCCATTTGTACACATTTTAAAGAAAATTAGGATCAATTCTGTATCTGATTTTTTATATCACATTATAAGCAGCATTTCTGTAATGAAAGACTTGGAATACAATGTTTTGAATGGCTTATACCATAATTTATTCTCTTATTGTACATTTAGTTTGTCTCCATCTTTCTTTTCTATTCTAAATGAAAAATAATTTCACTTCTATACTATTAAGTATAGCACTACCAAATAGTTCCTAAAATATACTAAAATTGTCCATGAGATATACAGTTGGATTTGGATTCTAACTTCGTTTAAAGGAGTAAATGCCTCAAGAATTTTCTTGTATTTCTAAGACTCCTTTGAAGACCTCTTCCACCAGCTGAGAAAAAAAGTGGAAGAACAAACAGGGTGGGGAATGGCCTGAGGAGAGAGGGTAGAGGGGAGAAGGGAGAGGAGGACTGAGTTTTTCAAGCTCTGAGCACACACTGTGCATAGGTACCTTGTTCATCAAAGCACACCTCAAGACGAATGAGTGATGGACACAGGTGCCACAATGCAGCAGGTCAGGGCTTTCTCTAGAGTAAAGTAAAGCCGACTCAACTTTAGGCAACATCCCTACCATGATTTTACCTAAAATGGACTTGGCAAGAAATGGTGAATTAAAGCATCAGTAACTTTAGTAGCTTATTACAAAATTTGTCAAAGTGTATGTCGTAGTTAGGCTAAAGGCTAAGTCTGCCTGTATCAAATATAAGAAACACAATTCTATATTTCCATATGAAAAATAGTCATCTATTAAGATAAAGCCTGAAATATGATCAACATATAAGAGATACTTCCATATTCATGTTTTGCAGCTCTCTTCACAATAGCCAAACTGTAGAATCAGTTGAGATGCCCAAGAACTGAGGAATGGATAAAGAAAACATGGGATACATATGCATATGCATATACATATATATACATATATATATGCATATACATATATATGCGTATACATATATATGCAAATATATATATGCGTACACATATATATATACATATACATATATATATACCACACCATAGAATATTACTCATCCATAAAGAAAAATGAAATTATGTCATTTGCAGGAAAATGGTCTGGATCATGATACTGAACAAGATAAGCCAAGCTCCAAAGGCCAAATATCACATGTTCTTGCCCATTTGTGAACCTAGGCCTAAAATGATGATAATAGGGTATGAATATATATGGAGGACTGTGAGGGGGACTGGAGTGGGGGAGGAAAAGAGCAGGACACTAAGGGGTGTAGAAGATCTAACTACATATATACATATGAAGACAGCATAATGAAACCCACTGTGTGAAAAAGGGGGAGGGAAATATAACACAGGGTGAACTTGTTTAAGGTGCCCTGTACACATGAATGGAATTATCATGATGAAATCCCCTTGCATTATTAATGTACACAAATTCAAAAGCAAATTTTTTTTAAAAAAGAAAAAAAAAAACCCAACAAGATGAAGCCTGAGACTAGATCCTAGGAAGGTATATGAAATCAGATCTTTTCTCTGAATAAATAGGAAATTCAAATGAATTTCATGCTGGGACAGGTCCCCTTATTATTATGGCAAAAATATAGGACATCACATTACAGTGGAAAGGGCACACAAAACCCAGGAAGTAGTTGATTCTTTACAATTCACTTGCTAACGTACAATGAGTACGTCCATTTCTTTATTTTTATTATTATTATTACTATTATTATATATATTTTTTGGTGGCACTGGGGTTTAAATTCAGGGCGTCACACTTGCTAGCCAGGAGCTCTTAGAGCTTGAGTTATTCCACCAGCCCTTTCACTTCAATTTGAAATAATAATGCCTGCACTATTTAAATTAAAGGATTATTATGCATTCCAAAAAGGACAATGCATGTAAAACTGCTTTAAAAACTATAAAACACTGCTGGACGCTGGTGGCTCATGCCTGTAATCCTAGCTTCTCAGGAGGCAGAGATCAGGAGGATTGTGGTTCAAAGCCAGACTGGGCAAACAGTTTGCGAGACCCTATCTTGAAAAACTCTTCACAAAAAAATAGGGCTGGTGGAGTGGCTCAAAGTGAAGGTCCTGAGTTCAAGCCCCAGTACAACTACAACAACAAAAAAAACTATAAAGCATTGTAAAGACGTAGGTTGCTATTATAGTTCCAACATCATAGTCTAAATTTAACATTAATTTACTCCCCTAAGACGGATTATAGTCTTATTACATGGGATGTTATTGTGATCTTTCATGCCTTCACTTTTTTTTGCACAAATAGATCCCTTTAGAAACATTTCTAGATAATCATCTTTCTAAGAGAAAAATGAACATTAACACAAAGGCAAAGTTTCCACAAATTGATCAACAGAGATAGAGTTTAAGATCCATTAGTAAGACTTAGGAATGTCTTCCCATTTAGTTGGAAGAATTAGACTTGTGGGGAAAACTTGTTTTATTTCTTAGATACAAATCTGAAAATCCTTTAAAAACATACTCTACTTGATTAAGAGAAATTTAAGTATATTTCAAGTAAGATACATATTTGGAAAAAAATCATAACATGCACTTGAAAATACAGAGGCACACAATGACATCCCCTCATATTATTAGTGTATTATTCAAAAATAAAAATAAGTAAAAAAGACAATACGAAGGCAGACAGTAGTATAGAACTGATACAAATTAGGAAGCACAGAATGAATACTGGGACTGGAGAAAAGAATGAAAAAGCAAACAGGCTTAGGAAAAGCTAATTGAAAACACTGACATTTGCTTTTTGCATTCCTGAAAAGGTTTGTGTGATAAAAATTCTGTAACCATTTAATTTGCTGGTTTCTATTGGAATTTTGAGTTCATATGGAAAATCACAGGTTTCCATGATACAAACTGCATTTCCATCAATCATCTAATATTTACTGAGGACTCACTGTGCACCTGGCACTTACTTGGGTACTGGAGAGACGAGAGTAAATAAATTACACTCTCTGCGCTCAAGGAGCTTAATCTATTCTTGATGAAGCTCATAATAAAGTAACTAACAAGCCGTACTGCCATGGGAGGCTGTGTCTAAGAGTTCCAATATTCTTCCTACTCTGAAGTTCTCTTTACATTTTACTCTCCAGACTACATCACAGAAGAAAGTCACTCAAACATACAATCAATCCAAGAAATCACTTCAAGAATTTTGAGATTCATAGATATTGAAGCATAGTACAAAAATAATTCTCATTTCATGAGAGACACTGCTGAACATAAATGATGAAGGAACCAGAGTAGTTATCCCAAAGCTTTTAGGTAATTCAACAACTAGATGAGTCACTCAGAATTGCTTTTTCACTTTCATATTCCATTAATGTCCTGGAATACCATCCCATTTTCCTGTTAATTTTTTGACTGGCTTTTAAATAAAAACTGCTGATAAAATATTTAAGACTTAGAAAAATATTACATTGGTAATTTGATTCACTGGGATCTCTATTTTACAGTTCTTTTGAAGCAACTGAGTTTCATTATAGAGCGGTTCAAGATAACATGTTATAAGATACTGAGATATGTGAGATGAATTATTGTCATAAAATACAGGTTGCATAAAACTAGAGATATAATTCAGTTGATTCTACTCAGAAAGGCTGACTTTTACATCTCTTCTAACTGGTGAGTAAATTGTCTACCCCAATCTAGATCTAGGTCAGGAAAATGATTTCCTCCATTTCTATACAAAATAAATGTGTTGAAATTCAAAGACTAAAACCTCCTCTTAAAAGAAACATGGGGGGCTAGCAGATTGGCTACAGAGCCTGCCTAGCAAGTGTGAAGACCTGAGTTAAAAAAAAAAAAAAGTAAAACAAGAAACATGGTGCTGTGCTGGAGGCATGGTGCAAGCAGCAGAGCATCCACCTTGCAAGCTCGGAAGCCCTGAGTCCCAGCCCCCGTACTGCCAAAAAAAAAAAAGGTACTGGAGCTGGAACTCAGGGCCTTCATCTTGAGCCACTCCACCAGCCCTACTTTTGTGAAGGGTTTTTCTAGATAGGGTCTTGCGAACTATTTGTCCCGGCTGGCTTCAAACAGATCCTCCTGATCTCTGCCTCCTGAGTAGCTAGGATTACAGGCATGTACCACTGGCACCACACCAAAAAAAATTCTTTTAAAGAAACATGGAATTTAGAGTTAAGACAGGCCTTTGTGCATCAGCATTCTACCTCTGAGTAGAGAGGCTGAGAAATGTGTATTTGTGCGTGTGAGTATATAAGCAGGTGAGTATTAAACATGTCTGAGTTTCCTTGGTCCTTGTTGACATCAGAAAGTCCCTATGCATAGCTTGAAAACTCTGGATTTTCAAAAATCACTTAGGGAAGTTATTCAAGTGCAGATTTCTATTTTCTTAATTTACGACATGTGTTTGGAATAAGTATTTTTAACAGGAATCCCTAGACCACACTGAGAAATACTGTCCTAATGTCAAACATTATGATCTATGAA